AAATATGATTTCCTCCGGAGTCGGCTTGACTCGGTTTGCATTTATAAAGAATGCACAAATGTGTTTAATCGTTAATGTCAGATATTACATTACATTACATTGCATTTAGCTGACGCTTTTATCCAAAGCGACTTACAATAAGTACATTAGACCGGGAAGATACAACCTTGAAGAAAACAGAATCATATAAGTACATCAGGTTTCATAGAGCCAAACCATTTCAAGTGCTACTCAACTGGCTTTAGATAAGCCAGTCCTTTATTAGTATGTAAGTGCTTTGTTAGTAATTCTGTCGCTCGAAGTGGAGTCTAAAGAGATGAGTTTTCAGTCTGCGCCGGAAGATGTGTAAGCTTTCTGCTGTCCTGATTTCAATGGGGAGCTCATTCCACCATTTTGGAGCCAGGATAGCAAACCAACGTGTTTTTGCTGATGGGAACTTGGGTCCCCCTCGCAGTGCGGGTGCAGCGAGCTGTTTGGCTGATGCAGAGCGGAGTGCACGTGCTGGGGTGTACAGTTTAACCATGTCCTGGATGTAGGAAGGGCCAGATCCATTCGCAGCATGGTACGCAAGTGCCAGTGTCTTGAAGTGGATTCTAGCAGTTACTGGAAGCCAGTGAAGGGAGCGGAGGAGCGGCGTGGTGTGGGAGAATTTAGGAAGGTTGAAGACCAAACGAGCCGCTGCATTCTGGATGAGCTGCAGAGGTCAGATGGCACATGCAGGTAGACCAGCCAGGAGGGAGTTGCAGTAATCTAGGCGAGAGATGACGAAAGCCTGTAGTATCTTTATTACAATCATCCAATGTTGCTTACAAATAACCATATAGGCAATACATAAATTGCGGCAATTGTGCAGATTTATTTAATGTTATATACTGTTTCCTGCAGGGGTGGGGATTGCATCCGGAGTGATAGTGCTCTATCTGAACATCTACTACATCGTGGTGTTGGCCTGGGCTATCTTCTACCTGTACAGCTCCTTCAAGAGCCCTTTGCCCTGGTCCACATGTAACAACTGGTGGAACACTGGTGAGCCACGCTTTGTGACACATCTACACTGGCTTGTTTAAACACGTCTGTATTTGATTGTCTGTGTGCTTATTGCTTTCTTTCAGACGAAGCACAACATGCATTCTCCTTCAAGTTTTTATGATTTTTTGGCACGCAACATCCGTCTCGCCTTAATCTCTTTTTCTTTACTTTCTTAGAGAATTGTCACGATCACGAAAGCGGCTTTGCCAACCGCGAATTGTTTCAAGCTGGCTCCAACTGGTCGTTCCTGTACAACAGCAGCACACCAGACTACTTTGGATCATGGACGTAAGCTGCATTGTCAAGCTGTACAGTACATGAGTGAACTATCAAAATGTTTCTGAGACACTTGCTGCAATCATTTAGATGGTATTGATAAGGATGATTGGAAAACAAGGGATTATTCTTGACTTTCATAGATATAGCAGTTTGACACACCCTCGCCTTCATGTGTTCAGAGCTGGAGGCCTAACATCTGTTTCTGTGATTAAAATGACTATAAACAACTTATGATTGCTCCCTTTGGACAGCGTGAGGGTGAAACGTAAACACAATAATTACTGATGAATTATTGTGTGTGTGAAAGTTGTTGGAAGTGGGCTGTCAAATAGAAAAAACAAAAAATTAGTTAGATGAGAAGTTCAAAACCACTCAAAGGGTAAATATGAAACACATAGCCAGTAGCAGTTAGCTTAGCCTAGCATAACGACTGTACAGCTTGGCTCTGCCTGAAGGAAATAACATCTTTCAAATGTGTATTATAACAAAACAAATAATGGCAACCCCCCTTGAAGATGGTTGAAAGTGAGTGAAAGTGTTCAGAAAATTAAAACTGCAAGCATTGCTTAGAATATTTTTTTTAATTTCAATTTACCTGCCTCTGTTGTTGTTTTTAGAAATGCCAACATCGATAACATGACTTTGGGAATGTCACCGGAGGAGGAGTTCTGGATGTGAGAAACACACTCATTCACACACTTACTGTAACTTCTTTAAACAGGAAATATTTGATGGTATTGTCCTTGAACACACCTCATAATAGAGCTTAATGCCTCACAGATACCAAGAGGCAATCTTTTCTGTCGGGGTGCTTATTCAACATGAGGATTAACAAACATCCCTTTTTTTTCCTTTTCAGATATTTAGAACAATTGGCTGCTGCTCACATGATAATCTTATGATATGTTGTGAGGGTAGACATTGGGAAATCACTCTGCTGCGAGATGAGAAAAATGTGTGCTTTTTCCGCTGCAATTTTTATAATCTGTTCTGAAGCTCTCCAAAATAGACCAATTGACATCTGTATTTATGATGCAGATGTTCTCTCTTTTTTAATGTATTCTCACCGTTGTAGACACAAAAAGTATGTGTTCCATGAAGCATTCGTAGCGGGTTGTGTTTACATCCAATGGAAAACAGCTTTTGGAAGAAGAAACAAATTGTGTTTGTTTGCCTTCCACATCCGTATGTCGATTATTCTGCATGTCATTTGCAGAGGAAGTAGTTGTTTACGTGTCGGATCTCCTCCCCCCAGGCACCGTGTGTTAAGGCTGTCAAATGATGGGTCCCTGGGAAAGCTAAACTGGGACCTGGCTTTTTGTCTCCTCCTTGCCTGGGTTATGGTTTACTTTTGCATCTTTCAGGGAATCAAGATCACAGGAAAGGCGAGTACTTCTTTAGCATACATGTGCAGTACTGTCCCTGATATTCAGCTGCATACATACAAGTATCTCCCTTTTTTTGGTAATTGATATTGATCTTGAATAATTAGTGTATGCAGATTTTATTTTATAATTCAATAACAAAATGTATGCCCACAATGTTTGAAGCAATAGCCATTCTATGTGCAAATTAGCACTTTGTAATTGCCTCTCTTTATACTGTTGTCATTTTAATTCATTAAGATTGTTTACCTATGCTCCAGAGATTCCCAGTTCATATTTATTTTATACAAATATTTAACATAATTGATCACACAGATTAAATCTAGCTTTCCTATGGACTACAGATTTGTATGCTATACTTTATTTCTCTTTTAACATTCTCGGCAAGACGTGTTAGCATTTTAGCCGTCCTCCATTTGTTTTGCTCAATCATGAGTTCAGCCTTTCCATTTTGAGAGTCTTTAGTATTCTTTACAACAGTTTAACTTAATAGAGACTTAATTTAAAGTGTTTAAGTTTGCACATGACATCCTAACCTAGCTTTTGTTTGCAGGTAGTGTACCTCACAGCTACTTTCCCCTACCTGATGCTCTTGATCCTCTTCTTCCGTGGAGTGACACTCCCAGGAGCGTGGGAGGGACTGGTATATTACCTCTACCCAGACTTCAGAAGGATCAGTGATCCAGATGTAAGAACTCATTAATCAAGATATCATTTGTAATACATGACAAACTCGATGCACACTACAGACATTCTGTATTTACTGAAGTAAAGGCTTGCAGAACGATGCGTTAGTACAATTGCACGGTTGGCTTTACAACCGAACAGAGCATCATCTGTCTTTTTATTTCTCAATACGGCACTATCTTTTAGATTACTGTTTTCTAACAAGATGGATGGTTTCCTGTTGTTTTCCCTCTAACACCCCCCCTTTCTATTTGCCTTGAATCTTGTTTCCGTTCTCAAGACAGAGGCTTAACAAGAAAAGCAAACTATGATTTATTTTCAGTGAGAAGTTTGTTAAAAAAAAAAAGCTCTCCTCTTTAGTATACTGACACATCTGCACATCTGTGGGGAACATTTTAAAACATTTTGATTGAATAATACTTGGAAAATACTTCTTGCACATTGACAGCCTCTGTATTTACCAGCAACAAGCGTATAAGAAAAGCACCATTTCTCCCACAAAAAAAAGACTGTCACCCCACCCGCCCTTGCTTCTTCCTCTTTTGAACTTCACAGGCAAGACTTCAGGGGTCAAAGTTAATCATCATAGGGTCACCAGACAACCCCTCCCTCCCTTTTCTTCTGCTGGCATGTGGATCTCCGTGCTTCATTCACACCATTTTCCTGCAAGAGGCTGTGGCTGCTGTTGGAAGAACATCTTCTCATAGACCTCTTAACAATTGTGGGTATCTCAGCTTGTAATTGTGTAAGAAAGCATAAGTAGAAACCGTGAGAATTTTCACTTTTGGGTCAAAAAGCAGAGCAAAGCATTGCCAGACGCTCCTAAAAAACATCTGATTCTAATGAGTCTCCCTTCAGCTTTCATGGGATTTTGTATGCACCACAGAGGAAATCGTAACAGAGTCCTGTCCTACATCTGGGCTCCTTTTATGTTTCTATTATGTGTGTGCGTGCGTATATCCAGAGGAAAAGGATTTTGAAATAAAGCATATGCTTTCAAAGCCACAACAGTTTCTTCTTTGTCCAGTCACAAGTGAAGATCCTTTGCCACAGGCTGAAGCATCCACTTCTGTCCTGAGGCTGGGAATAAGTCAGGACCACCATGGGGCCTGAGTAAGGGCCTGGTGAATGTTTGGAGCCGTGCCAGCTCTATCTTTCACAAGGCCAGGCACACAGCAGTGTTGTGCCTCTAATGTTAACCATATGCTGTCAGAACGAGTGCAGCCGAAACGGACACAAACATGCTGCAACTTGTGAATGCAGTAACAAAAAAAGGATGTTGCAGAACCATGCTCATATTTCTGTATATATGTCAATACATGTTTGTTCTCATTTTTTTTTACTTTTAATCTTATTATGCCTGTGTATATTCCACATCTGTGTTCCTTTCTTATTATGTTGCTGCTATGACACCTGAATTTCCCTACAGGGATTAATAAAGGTCCATTTTTATCTTGTTAGGAAAGTAGTTTATGGTGAGCTATGTGTCAGGTTATTTTAACAATATCCCAGGTCCGTCTGAGTTGTCTCTTAAATCTCTTCCTCTGTAGGTGTGGCTGGATGCAGGGACTCAGGTGTTCTTCTCCTACGCCGTGTGTCAGGGAGTCCTCACCTCTCTGGGGAGCTACAACAAATACAACAACAACTGCTACAGGTCAGCGTCCACACACACACACACACACACGCACGCACGCACGCACGCGCACACGCACACGCACACGCACAGCACATCCTCACTCTGACTGTTTTTACATTGGGAATGAAGGCCTTGTGGTTTTTGACACATTGAGGCCAGTTACAACTTCAGAAGTACATTGTGCACAGGAAGAGAGTGAACTGTGTACTTCCATTATGATTTGAGCTCTAACGTCTGGAAGCATATGACATTGTCAATGTATTCTGCTTTCATATATATTGTTTAATCTTCATTTGTTTAATTTAGATTTTAGATTTGTAATTGTTCATTAGTAAAAGCTGAAACTATGCAACCTCCCTCTTACGCAAAGACGGAAAAGGTTATAAAAGATGATGTGTGAAGAGAAACGGACGTTTTTTGGGGGGTTCTTAGGACCGTTTTTGGAGCTTTAGGCTGTTTTAAATTTTTGGACCTTGACTTAAACTTTGTATTTAATTTTTTGGATCTGGTAATCCTTTATTTTTGTAAAAACCCAATAAAACCGCTTTGTAATTTGTACATCTCGACCCAATTCCTGGTCTCTGAAGGTATCTGCTTAGTCTTAGAGTAAGGTAAGAACACCCTTCCTTGGAAAAGGCTGACAGCAGTTGATAATTTGAATTCCCAATGTCATGGGAAGTAGAAACCATGGATAAGAT